AATCTCCAATTTTAAATTTTGCATCAACATAATGTTTATCATACCTTTGTTTATTTATCTTATGATATTTAATTGTTCTGTTTACTGCAATGTCTTGCTTGTTGTATAGGTGGATAGTTTAATTTTACTTGATTAGGTAATGGCGAGTCATATGGTAAAGTTCCAAACATTAAATATGCAGGTGGAAAGCCAGTAACATCATGTGGCGAGTTATTGCATTCATATGTAACTTGTTCTCATAATTTTGTCCAAAAAATTTTTGTAGTTGAATTAACTTTACATCTTAATTTTGCAACTAATGTCTGATTAACCCTTTCATTCTTTCTATTGCATTGTGGTCTATTTGCTGAAGTTAGTAATTGTCTAATATTATGATGTTTTAAAAAAATTTTAAATTTAGAAGAAGGAAATGCAGCATTTCTATCACTTAACAGTTGTTTTGGGCATTGAATTGAAAAAATTTGTTTTAAGCAATTTGTATAAGTTTCAGAAGTGACACTTTTGGATGGAAATGTCCAAGCATATCTGGTAGCATGGTCCAGAACAATATGAAGGTATTTCTTTTGTGAATTATGATAATTCAATCCTCCTACAATGTCTAGTGACATCATTTCAAATGGTTCTTCTGCTACAGGAACTTCTAATAATCCATACTTTTTTTGTGTAGATTTTTTATTCATTTGACGTGTTTAACAACATTTAACAAAATTTTAAATATCTAATATAATGTCTTTCCAGTAGTAAATTGGGGAAATTAATTTTAACATCTTTTTCACACCTGGGTGACCAAATTGTTCATGTGCAGTTGTAATTAATTTTTCTCTTAAAGCTAATGGTACTACAATTTTAATTAAATTCAATTTTACTACATAATACAAAGGTATTCTTTTTAATTACACCCTAATGAACTTTACTAAAATATCCTAGAACCAGAATAAAGTAATTGGCTATATAAACTGCAAAAATTCAAAATTAAGTGGCATAATAATAAAAATAATTGGTTATCATACCAAAACTTAAGATAAACTCCCGTGAGATATCAAGAAATATTTTGCTTCTTCCATTGTTCGTCTTTTCGATATTCCAAACATAGTTGATCAAAACAGTCAAGAAAACTTTTAAAAGAACTAAACATATTTGTATCAGATTCATGGATAAAGAATTGTTGTTTTAAAGTGTTGGCTGGTGACTTCTGCCGGAAAGAATCGTCCTCCATTATAGTATAGTTTTCAATGCAGTCGCTGTTCGAAAAAAAATTTTTGAAGTTTATTCTTTCGGTTTCGTGGCATATGTTGCCGTTCCTTGAGTAATCCTGAAGGCTATTGTCAAGCCCCAGACCTGCTGGTGAAATGGGGAAGGTATCATCTCTATAATAACTTTATTTCACCTCAATCACATAAAATCCAACATGGCAGCCCTTTGGCACGCAACCGAGTAGAACATTAACAACCAATTCGACCAGGAGTCACCAGCTAAGCCTTTTCGATTATGCGTTCGTCTTCGTCAGCGCTCGCTCCACCCTTAAATAGGCTTATTTACCCACAAATCCTTACGCGATGGTAAAGAGTTCGCTCTATTTTTTTTATTTATTACTTACTTAATTTTGAACCTAAACTTTTCAAACCTGACATATATATATATATATATATATATATAATGTTCAAAATTTCAACCGCGTTAATAAAATACTTTTTGTTCCACCGCTCAAGTTCAAACCCCTTTTTTTACACTTGTAGATGATGTTAATACAGTTTTTTTCATTAATTAAATTTATTTAATGAATAAATAGTAACAAACAAAAACAATAGTCCAACACTATATATAAAAATGAAAACCGCTTCTTATGCCCATGTAGCGCTTTGGATAGCGCACGTTGGACTTCTAATCCAAAGGTCGTGGATACGAATCCCACCTGGAAAGGCCTGAGAATGTGATTTCATTTTAGTGTACTATTTTACTGTAATAATTAAATTTATTTAATGAATAAATAGTAACAAACAAAGATAGTAGTCTAACACCCTATAGAAAGGAAAATAGAAAATTGTAATGAAAATCGCCTTTTATTTTGTCTCTTAATATTGTGATTCTGTCCTACGTATATACATATTTATATTAATTGTAATTATTTAATAAAAAGTAACTAAAATAAAAATTTTCTTGTTGACCTAAGTAGGAAATGACTTAATTTATATATATATATATATATATATTACTTGTTTCTGTTATATTGATACCATTTCTTTCACATTGCCTTTCAGACTTTTCTTTTTGTGTCACCGATAACCGTGTCTCGGCATTCTCTATTAGCTGTGCCGCTCTGGGACACGATAACCGAAGGACGTATCCGAAACACGCTCCCATACGATTTTCGTTACACATGACCACGTGGTTCAACTTTTGCCAACTGAAAAGTTTATTTTTTCAGTAGGCGTTGGATATTTTTTGCAACATTATTTTTCGCATATGGCCCGAAAAAAAAACACCACAAACCACCTCGCAATGGAAGAGCAGAGATAATTTCACTTCTCCTGATAGAACTGCAACCGAAGGATCGCAACTGGCGCATAAGGGTTACGATCAGCCTGCCTCTAAGGAATGTAGCCTACTTCAAGTTCAAGACGACGATTCCGATGAAATCATGGATTCCTCAAGAACTTTTCCACGCTGACCGAATTTTCCAGCTGACCTCACAGATCGGGCAACCGACGACTCCAGCTGCAGGAAACTACAATCCATTGCCCACAACATCCGCATCTATGAATTCTTCACCGAACAGGCCAAGAACACCATCAAAGTGCTGTTTGAAAATAGATTCACTGACTCGAACGACCCAGAAGTGCAGTGACAGTACCATAATGTGGAATACTACACGCAGCGGCATCATAAAGCGGTAAGTGAGTTTGCCTTTGGCCCCCCCCCCCCGTGATACCCCTAACTGTACAACTCATATCACCCCAAATAACTCTCCGATTAAAAACAATAACACTCAGGATTTTCCCCTCTCCCCAAGCCTTCTGTTAAACGTAAAAAAAGTGTCGACGGATTC